CCGAATTGAAAATCTCCGAAAGAAGTTACTTCTTTACAAGGTATCTTCCTTGAGCTGTTTATCTGTTCCGAATTTATAACAAAAAGCAAGCATTCCTGTTAGAAGAGTTTGCCTTTGTGAAAAATTAATTTTCAGGATATGCGAAAAACGCTGAAACGAAGGCGACCACCAGCAACGAATATGTTCCCATCGTCCACTGATCTAAGTCGATGCGTGTGTAAACAAACTCATGCCCATTTGCTAAGGTATAAGATTTTATTAGTTTTCGCTAATGTAATTGAAGAAGCTGAGGCTCATAATTGGCCAGTGAGGGGTAGAGGGGTTATTGGCAAGATGGACGGACTGTAAGGAGAAAAGAATGGAAAAGAGCATAAATCATCAAAAATATTTGTTGAAGGGATGTCGACAACAAGCTCAATGACGATAGATGGCAACGAAAGGAGCAAAAAAGTGGTCTTCTGAGCAACTTCCTGAACACAAGCGTTAGTGCAAAGTAAGTACGTCTATTATTTATTTTCACTGTCAGTTGATGGGCTTCTCAGAACAATCAATTTCTTTTGCGTTTTATATCTATAGCTCCGGATTTTTGAAACATGCCAGTGGAAAAACAAAAGAAAACAAAAAAGTAATAGCTAAAGTAATAACTAAAAGTAATAGTTAGTAAAAAGAAAGTATGTGAGAATGAAAATCAAGGCAAACAATTGTGGATGCATTTTGTGATTTTGTATAAAGTTTTTGCAACCTCATAGACCGAATTTTCACAACTCGGTTTTCTATTTTTATTTTATTTTAATTTTCTATAAAAATTCTTTTTTATGCGTTTTTTACAGTAATAGTTTCAAAAAACTCAAAGTTTTTGCGTGTCTGCCAGTGTTTGTGTATGTGTGTCTGTGTGTGTATTTGTGCTCGTATCCGAGTACATTTGTTTCGGATTTTTAGGAACCAGTAAAGCTAGGGGACTGAAATTTTACGATGATGTTCCCTCTCCACGTGCAGCCACGTACATTTGAATTGAGCCCTCATGCACGCCTAGGTTTCACGCGCGACCATATGAAGGTTTTGGCGCGAAAATTGTTCGGAAGCTACAAAGATTAAAAAGTTGAAATTTTACAAGGATGTTCAATGCCTATATGTAGCCCAAAGATTTCAAATTTAGTTCTCACGTGCGTCTGAGTGTCACGTACGGGCACGTGAGATTTTGGCGGAAGTCAGAAAACAAGAAAACTTTGGCATATGCCAAAACCAACTTACCATTGAGATAAGTGAACAAATCGTAGTGCGGATGGTTGTTTAACTGGCGAAATCAAACTCGCGACCTTCTATACTACAGCAATGCTATTTTGTCTTCACCAAGAATATGAAAAAATTCGTTTTTCAAAAAAGCGCTACAAAAAAGGCACCCGTAGAAGCAGTTTGTTCGAATTTTTCTGTTTGTTCAATTCAGACTGCAAAATTTTCCGATAATTTTAATCAGTTATGTCAAAAAACTCCGCTGTTACAGAAACGGAAGCCGTAATGAACATTATACCGGTTGTACGGTACCACAGATGAACTGTTTTGTGCATGGTGCTGATCACTGGAGGACACCACCATTTTGGCCGGAGCTATACGGGCAATTCTGTTTCTGTCAAAATTCAAACAACAATACTTATTGGTGCCTACGAACTGTGAATAGTACACATAACTTCCTCTACTGTGAATTTATCACTGAATTCATAAGTTACTACGACCTGAACGCTGATCCGTACCAGGTAAGGGACTAATAACAACGATGCGAAGCATTTGAATAGGGAAAACGATGAACTTTTTCTAAAACTCATAAGCTTTGCGTGTACATTTTCATTCAGTGTAGCTGTCAGCATTTCCATTCTCGATTTATTCTTGGCCCACAAAGCCCTGCGTTTTCATACTTTAGTGGTGATTAATTTCGCCAGACACCACTCGATATGTATTTCCCAGCAGCACAATATCAAGCCTAATAGTTCTTATGCGTTCTGTGCTGAGTAACAGCAGGAAAAAACGCATATTGTCACGGGGTTGTTTGTGTGTATGTATGTATGTATTTGTATGTGTATGTGTGTGTGTGTGTGTGTGTGTGTGTTTGTGTCCGCAACAACTTGTCCACAACTTTCAAGTCAGGAACCACAAAAGCTAGGAAGCTGAAAACTTAGGCGAACATTCCCCATCCACATGTGACCCCGCAAATTTAAATTCAGCCTCCCTTTTAACACGTACGGCCGCGCAAAAGTTTGGGCGGGAAAAATTATTATTGCGGGAACTACCGAAGCTAGAAGGCTGAAATTTTGTGGGCATGTTCCCTGCCCACATGCGACCCAGAAAATTTAAGCTCAGCCTTCTCCTGCCTGCGGGTTTTACCTACGGCCCCATGAAAATTTTTGCGGATAAATTATTATCTCGGGGACCACGAAATCTGCGAAGCTGAAATTTTAGGGTAATGTCCCCCCTACCCACGCACGACCTTGCAATTCCAAACTCAGCGTCCCCGCGCTTTCGGGTATCATTTGCGGCCTCGTGAAAGTTTCGGCGGGGAAAGTTGTTATCTTGGAGACCACGAAAGTTGGGATCTGAGATTTTAAGGCGATGCCTGTTCTCAACGCGCTGCGACTCCCGTAAATTTCGATTCAGCCTCCACGCACCCCTGTGTACCACTTGCGGTCCCGTGAAAGTTTTGGGCGTAGCATCCCCTGCCTACGCACAACTTTGCAAATTTTCAACTTCTCCGTGAAAGATTTGGCGAGAAAAATCATTATCTCGGCAGGCAAAAGTGCTGGGAGATTGAAAGTTCCAGGAGAATGTTTCTTGCCTCTAACCAGGGGCTTCATAAACTCGAATCCGGTTCCTAAGTATGCCGAGCTGTCACGTACGACCATGTGAGAATTTCGTGTCACAAATCATTCGAAAGCCAAAAAATTAGAAGACTGAAATTTTGGGAGGATATTCACCCTTCGAAGTTACAAATTCAGCTTTCACGTGTCGACCCGTGAAATCTTTAACTGTTTTTCAACGTTTCAACTATTTTTGCATAAACTAAGTACAAAGCAATGAAAATCATTAACGGGCAATCGTTTGGTGGACGGAATTGCACAAAACGCATGATCGCACCGTCTTTTCTGATGCATGCTGCTATTTTTTTCTCAATACCGCTTTTCTCAGATGGTCCTTTGATGTGCAGATTTACTGGTCCACTGCTTTCTTCGCGTTTTTGCAATGTTCTGCTGTTTTTAGCTGCACAATTCGATCTGGAACGTCCCGCTGGGAGTGCTGGAGCAGCTCAGTGAGCAACTCCAACTTCTGCGAACTTGTCGAGGGTATGCACAGTGCGAACATTACTCATCCTCAACTTGGTATGTCCCATTTGAAGGCCGTGATAACAGTATCAGTTAGTATCGGCTTGTTGTCTGTACCTTCCAGGCCTACACCCCGGAAGGCCGTACACATTTGCAGCACTATCTGCTAAACTAAAAAGCAAAAAGCAGTGTAACTTCCTTTTGGGGCTGGTTTTTTTTGGCCGGAAAATTGTCCGCGATGCTGAAATAATTTCGCGATGTTCCGTAGTTTGGTGATTTGAAATCACATTGACGATTTTTTGAATTTAGAAGTTATGGGTACTACTTGATAGGGTTTTGTTATATTTCCCACTGCTGTTTTGTTTGCAACTGGACTCATATGAACTTAATAAAAAAATCAGAAGTTGAATGCACTACGCAAATTTAATCGAAAAATTACATAAGTTTGTAGCATGCAATAGATTTATTAATTTATCGAGCATACAATGTTCATACTTCTTATTCACAACATAGCATTCGAACTGCAGAAGCACCACATAATCACACCTGCGAAAAAACATAAAAAAAAGACAACTTCAAATAATATATTGAATTTTTTACTAAGCTTCACAGGTACCTCGTCGTAACAAAAAACGGGTCGTTCGTTTCTGAGTTTCTTAAAAAAAAA